TGAAAGGCTTACCGTTCTGAAATAAATCGGGTACATCATTAACGAAAAGGCAAAATAAAAGCGGGCCGAGTACACTACCCTGAATGACTCCACTCCTCACACGTGTGGGGTTGGAGATGGTATTGGAAATCTTAACTCGTTAAGAGACGATGAGTCACTAAGTGTTCTCAAAGCATTCCGAATAGGGAAGAGTCAGTCAGCATCCGGTTCAAATTCCCGGCCTCGACCCCTAAAAGTCATTTTGGAGACTGAAGCACAGGCTCAGCTCCTGTTACAGAGAAAATCATCTCTGCGGGGTCAGCATCCTGAAGTTTTTTTCAGCCGGATTACGAGCCAAAAGAGCGAATGAAAATGAGAGAGCTGATGACGGAGCTGGAAAAGCGGAGAAACAGCGGCGAATAATCTTCCGCCTGAAATTAGATTATCGCCTAAGTTACTGGTATTCAAGTCGAAATTACGCAACCCTCTTACACCGGAAAGCATAAAGGCACTGTTAACGGTCTCATTCCCGAACACTCAGATTCTTGACTTCGAGAAGGGTCCTCCTGGGATTTAGTGGTAGATTAAGTGGTAACTCTTAATTATATCATTAGAAACCCCTGTTTTTAATTTGGTTTCTAAATCCACTGCTATCACTCCCCCCCATAGCGACAATTTTCGCGGTTTTTGATGTCATCTCCCGCATTCCGACCCCATGCGGTCTGTCGACGCTCACGGCGGAACCCTCAGTATTCACTGTCTACTAGTAGTTCGGTCGTACCTCTCTTCCTCACTGCTCGGCTGAGCTCGAAGCGTGCTGTGGCCGATCGCATCTCGGTTCCTCTCGTCTGACCTCTTTGACGCGGCGTACCAATCCGGCCCAGACGATCTCAATTGTGAATCCCGTAAACAATGCCATATGCAAGCTAGTCCTGTCTGACCCACATTCGTACCCATCAAGGCTGACATTTATTGCTACCCTGACGATGACCGACAACATTCCGTTATATACCGCCACCTACAGGCCAGTCCTGCTCGCTTTTTTCTGTTTTTATTTTTATTTTTTTCCTGTAAAATGAATCCAATCATTTTTAACTTTTTGTAAGGAGTTTTTTTTTCACCCCTCAGTCATCATGTTTCTCAATGGACTTCTAATTCAGAAATTATGAATTGCATTTTGTACAGATTCGGCCTACCTCGTCTAAAACTCGCATGTAAATTTATTTTAACTTGCTTTGATGGGACCCCGACCGGTCTTTAATAAAAATTATCTATCTATCTATCTACAAATCAAGAATGGACAAATAATTCAGGTCAACGGACATTTCTCTGGCCGAAGGCCGTCATTGTGACAGCCTAACCGATGCAAAGGTGCCAGCTCCTGAGGCTGCTCGAACCAGTGGCCGCTGTCTAGAAATCTATTACACTAACTGTCAGAGTCTTCTCAACAAGCTAGATGAACTCAGATTACTTGTCTCAGAACAAAAGCCACACATAATTGTCCTAACAGAGACATGGTTGACTAAGGAAATTAGTAGTAGCGAAATCAGAATTGAAGGCTACCAACTGTTCCGTTGTGACAGATTTCACCGTAGAGGAGGAGGCACAGCTATTTATGTGTCAAATGAAATTGCGTGCTGTCAACGAGAAATTTCCGATGGTGCGCCCCGAAATTTTGAAATAACTTCATGCAAGATATGAATCAAACAATTACCGACACTGAACCTGCGTGTTGTCTATCGGCCTCCCAGTTTGAACGAATTCGCCGATATGCAATTACTTGGTGCACTGGAGTTGTTATGTAAGCAGGAGAACTTACTACTTCTGGGTGACTTCAACGCTCCAGGAATAAACTGGAACATTCCCCTAACAAACGCCCCGTCCACGTCATTTGACCACAAGCTACTACAACTCTCCCTGAATGAATAACTCATTCAACACATAAAATGCGGAACAAGAATGAGAGAAGGACAACGATCTAACTGTCTAGATCTCGTTTTCAGTAAGGAAGGAGTCATAAGAGATGTTGATCCCCAACGTCCACTCGGTTTAAGCGATCATTTTGCTTTAAACTGCGTATGCTGTCTCCTATCGAACCAACGATCAAAAATCAAGAAGCGCAGAAATATTTTGAAGGGTGACTTTAACTCAATGAGACGTACTCTTTTGAAGGGAATCTGGTTAGTCAACA